AAATACAAAGGAAGAGGAACAGTTGTAAGCAGACACTGGTGATTGGGACATGGAATGTGAGAACCATGAATGTAGGAAAACTGGATATTGTTAAGAAATGGAATGCATAAATATTGACATACTAGGCATTGGCGAGATGAGATGGACTGGCATGGGGCATTTTGAGTCAGATGATCAGATGATATATATTACTCTGGAGATGAAGAGGTGAGAAAAAATGGAGTTGCTTTCATAGTTAGGAAAGTAATTGCTAGATCCATCTTGAAGTACAATATTGTGACAGGATAATATCCATATGCATACAAGGAAGTCCAGTGAATACCACTATCATTCAGATATATGCACCAACAACCAGAGCCAAGGAAGAGGATATAGAAGATTTTTACCAACTTTTACAATCAGAGATCAATTGAAGATGAAATCAAGATGCATTGATAATAATGGGTGACTGGAATGCAAAAGTTGGGAACAGAGAAGATTCAGTAGTTGGAAAATATGGACTCGGTGACAGAAATGGAGCTGGAGAGAAAATGATTGAATTTTGCACAATCAATGACTTATTCATAGCAAATACATTTTGTAAGAGACATAAATGCAGGTTATACACGACTACACCTGATGGTATGCATAGGAATCAGATCGATTACATCTGCAGAAAGAACCGCGGGAGAAGCTCAATATCAGCTGTGAAAACTAGACCAGGAGCTGATTGTGGAACAGACCACCAACTACTCATATGTAAGTTCAAGCTGAAGTTGAGGAAAATTAAACCTAATCCACGGGAACCAAAATATGACTTTGAGTCTATCCCACCTGAATTTCAGAACCATCTCAGGAACAGGTTTGAGGCCTTGAACAAAGACCAGCCGAGTAGTGGGAGGATAGTAGGGGGGTGTCATCCAGGAAGAGTGCAAATGGTCATTGCAAAGACAAAAGAGGAAGAGAAGACCAAAAGGGATGTCAGAAGAGACTCTGAAAATTGCACTGGAGCAAAGAGAAGCTAAAGCAGAGGAAGAATTCAAGACACCAAAGAGTTGAATGGAAGAGTTCAAAAAGCAGCACGGGATGACGAAGTAAAATATTATAATGAAATGCACAAGGAATTGGAGTCAGAAAATCAAAAGGGCCAAACTCTCAGCATTTCTTAAGCTCAAGGAACTGAAGAACAAATTCAAATCTCAAGTTGCTATAATCAAGGATGCTTTCGGCAGAATATTAAATGATCCAGGAAGTATTAAAAGAAGGTGGAAAGAATATACTGAGTCACTGTATCAAAAGTGACCGGCAGACACAGAAGAATTTCATGAAACAACATATGAGCAAGAGCCTATGGTGATGAAAGAAGTAGTTCAGGCTGCTTTGAAGGAAATGGCAGAAAATAAGGCCCCAGGAATAGATGCTATATCAATTGACATAGTTCAGTTAACAGATGCTGCCCTGGACGTGCTCACCAAGTTGTGC